CCATTGGTACAGGAGCCACGGCTGTGCGGCAGGTGCCCGTCAGCACCACAGTGGTATCTACGTCCCAGGCAGTGAGTAATGCTGAGCTCTAACTGGGGGTGGGGAAAGAAGGGGGTGCCAAAATACACTGATGTTTAATGGCTGAAAACTGCTCTTTGCATCCACAGAGACTCAAATTAATATGGCAGTCATACAATGGTTGTATTTAGGTTGTAAATTTTGGGTTGTAAAGGACATTAAAGCTCATTCAGTCCCATCCCCTGCCATGGGCAGGGATACCTTCCACTAGATCAGGCTTCATCCAACCTGGCCTTGAACACTTCCAGGGATGGGGCTGCCACAACTTATATTCTGGGTATGAGTCTGCAACTCATTTCATGGTGTTCAAATTGCAGCTAAATGCCCCCAAAAAGTCAGATACTTCCTTTATCTCCTTTTGCAAGTGAATGAAATAAACTTTGCATATCTGAAGTCCTGCCTCATGCAGCTCTGTGTCTTGCCCTACACCTTGGCAATAATTTCCCTTGTAATGGTGTCATAGAACATCCAGAACTAAAAGTGCTTGTTACTTGTATTAACTTTTTTACTGATTTCACCCTTTAATGCTATTTTAATTCCCAAATCTGAAGGCACTACAAACTGTATTGTGGTTACATAAGCTGAATGACATTATGGTTGTTTCCTAAGGATAAAAATCATGGATCCTGTGGTGCAAAGATGATGTGGATTTTCAGGGGTCAGGCGGCTGTGTAGTGAATGAGAGGGAGGTGAATTTTAAGGAGCCTGAACTGGAGCACAGATTTCATCAGCAAAACTCCTGCTGGTTTCTGCTCACAGGACTCACACAAAGCAACAGATATTGTCGGGTAGTTTTTCTGCTGAGCTCCCCATGGCTCCTCATGTGTTCTTCCCATTCTCCAGGGCAAACTTCCAGCACGGATTACAGTACCCCTGTCAGTGATCAGCCAGCCAGTGAAGGGCAAGAGCGTGGTCACTGCTCCCATCATCAAGGGCAACCTTGGCACCAAGTGAGTGCTTTGCATCTTGTAGTTCTGCTTTAGAAATCGGCTGAGGAAGGTCTGTGTTCGGTGGGTTCCTGGGGAGCAAGCAGACAGGGGCTGGAATAGGATTGCAGTCTGTTAACAGGTCCATCAGCTGCAAGAAACTGAGTGAATATGGTGTCTACAATGAGATTGTAATTTTTAGTAATTTGAGATGCAGGTTCTAGCAAATACACCGAAGAAAAAACATTTTGTGCCTTGAAGCCATCTGTTCAATTAGTTCTGTGTGTTTGAGCAAGAATTAACACAGCGAAAAATATATGTAATCTGAGGCCATCTCTCCATTCAAGAGAAGTTAACTGCCTTAGTGAGAATTCCTCTGGCATTCAGATATTGAAGGCTTTTTGTTTATTCTTTCATAAATTCTGATAGTGTCTCCCTTAGTTAATATTTCAAGTGCTCAGCTGTTTTCTGCATTGAGAAATGTTCAGGTCTGATCAGGCTAACCCAGTGTGTGCATGGTCCAGAGTTAATGGGTGTGATTGGTGTGCTAAATTTTCTGTCAGTTATAAATACTGACATAAACTTGTCGCTACTGTATTTGCCAGTTTTATGGGGGAAGAAAAACCCCACTACTTGAAATGGTTAGTACATGTGGTAGAACTATAATCTACTAGCAATTGAAGAATGGTTTGGAGTTGGAAAGATTGAGCATGCTGTGCTGTTTACTAACCTTTCAACAACAATTATTTTTCCTTAGCATCAGTGGATTAGGCAGAAATATCATTCTGACTACAATGCCAGCAGGGACTAAACTGATTGCTGGGAACAAGCCTGTGAGTTTTCTGACTGCACAGCAACTACAGCAGCTGCAGCAGCAAGGCCAAGCAACACAGGTAAGGGCACCTGGAATGATCATTCTATTTGCTTTTTAATAACTTAACATCTCCATGAGGACTTTACACTGGATATATGGGGTTGCAGAAAAAAACCAGGCACACAGCTTGGTTGTAGTGTCTGCATTAAGCACATGGAATCCATCATCACCTTTACGTTCTCTCCATCCAAATAAAGTTTATAAATGTTTTTGAAGTACTGCCAGTATAATGAATGTAAAACCAAAGGTCTTGTCAGGATTTTTCTATACACACAGCAGTCTTTGTAGTGCTTTGTACTTTGGCTTTTGTGGGTCACCTTTTCTTGAAGAAATCACATAACTGCTTTGCGTATCCATCTTTCTGTCTGGAAACTTAGTGTTCTGTAATTCCAAATAATTAATCTGCATCAACAGCTGATACTAACAAGTCTGTAGAAGTATCCAATGGATCCAAGTCCTTTTTCTGAAAATGTGTAAAAGCAGCTGACATATAGGTTTTTATTCAAACTAGTTTTCAGGCCTTCCTCTCTAATCTGGAAATCTCCTGTTACCATCTCACGTGGGCAGTGGATGGAATGATCTTCTTATGACATATTCTTTTCTGGCAGTGTTTTTGGTGCTTGGTGTTGTTCCAATAACTGAGTTTTTGTTGGCAACAGAAGCAAGTACTTCGCCAGAGCACAGTGCAGGTGCAGTCATTGTGTCACCAGGTTGTTCTTGAGACAAGTTATTTCTTTCCATTTCACACAGGTGCGAATTCAAACAGTTCCAGCCTCCCATCTCCAGCAGGGAACAGTCTCTGGCTCAAGTAAAGCAGTGTCCACTGTGGTTGTGACAACAGCTCCATCTCCAAAGCAGACTCAGGATCAGCTGTGAACACTGGTTTGAACATGGATCACTTTCTAAGGACTTCCCTGAGCCTGTTGTCATCCTCCATCCAACCAAACACCTGAGGCTGCCTAACCCCAGCCATGGCTTGGAATTGGACTGGGTTCTGCCCTTGCTTCTCCAGGGTCAGCACTGCCATGTGTGGGTAGAAATTCCAGAGATGTACCTGCAAAACAAAATGTTTCAATCCAGATGTGGAAATCCAGGTTCTGTGGAATTATGATTTCAAAAATGTATTGCTGTTTTTTGTTCTTTTTCCATCCAAAGGACTTCTGGCAAATACAGTTCCTGTGCATTTTCAGTTGTAGACAAAACAGTTATCCTTGATCTTCATTAAGCAGGGAAGGTTGCTTGGAAGGGGTTATTCAGTGGCTTTTCAAAGCCATGGAGAAGATGTCTGCTTTTACTGGAGTCTAGCTGTCACTACTGTTATCTAGTGACTCAGGATGGTGTCTTTGTCACCAGAGTTACTGTAACTCACATCCATGTCAGGTTACTGTCAAAGACCGGGTGAGAGTCAAAGTGGTTTTTTTGCTGTAACAGAGTGAGTGACCATGGTGGGGGGAGAGGGAGATGAGATACAGAAAGTCACTGTGTGAACAAGTCTGTCAGCAAATGGGACTGTAGTGGAAAGGAAAAAGTTGATGTTCACAAGAACAATCCTCTTTTAGTTTTCTTCAATATAGAAGCCTTTTTATTAGTGGAAACAAACTGTACCTTGGTTTAAAAGGTTGGAATATATTTTCAAATACACCCAAACTGTTGTCTCTTGGGTTCTGAAGAAATACTTTAACCCGCAACCTGGTAATTAGTTTTGATTTTACTTTTGTAGTTTTATCTGTATATGTAAATATTTTTGAATTTTGCACATACTGGAGATGGATTTGTGACTTTGTGACTGTTCTGACATGACCTTGAAGCTGAATGAGATCAAAAGATGTGCTGGACCAGGAGAAGAATAAAAGTGTAGAAAGCCTTACAGATCTCTGCCATATCCTTTTGGTTCTCTACAGCATGTGTTGTGTACAATCATTGTCCAGCTTGCCAAGGGCTAATAGCCTGTCCCATCTTCTTGATAAGATGGTTCTTTTTAACCTGGTCTTTTTTTGTAGGCTTTTTTTTTTTTTTAAAGATGTGGTTTGCTCCAAGTTATATATTGTAGAACACAATACATTTAAAGAACCAAATAGTACAGTTAAGGACTGTTGTGGTTGGAGCTCTCTGTGTGTTACTGTCTTGCTGGGCTTCAGGCTGGGGTTGTGGATCTTACTGTAATATATCTAACCCACTTCCCACTTTGAAGGAAAACAGATATTTCAGTAAGAAAATAAGTGACTGGATATAAATACTGAGTTAGCAGGACACATCAGTTCAGCATTTGAAAGCAAGTGCTTGAATTGTGGTTTATATGCTTCACAATTTTGAGTGATAAAGGTTTTCTGTCCTGCTTTGTCATGTTTGGGACACGTTTTGCACATGTATCAGTCAGGAGCCAGCAGAAAGACAGTGGCATGAGATGGAGGTGAGGACATTCTGAAGTCCGTTTAGTTGTGAAGTTAAAAGACTAAATTAAGCAGGCAACAAGCAATTTCCTGCTATTGCTTATGTGAAAGAGCCTTTAAATTCAAAACATAATCAAGATAATCCTGCTACGTTCTGTTCATAATTAATAAATTATTAATTAACCTACAGTCAAGTGCTGAAAGATGGTTACATTGTGAAGACCCTTTAATTTTTGTCAATCCTCATGACTTGCTTGCTGGGCACAGGAGGCTTTGGAAGTATTAAGCTTAAGAAAACAAGAAACCTGCACCTAATCCCAGAGGCTTAGTGTGTCTCAGGTGGTTGCTGCTGGTTTTAAGTGTCTTGCTGTTGATCACTGTCCTACTTTTGAGCAACCTTTGCATCCTGGCTGCTTCTCTTAGGTTCCTGCTCTTTTATGTTGATGTCTGGTTTTTGGGGAAAAGAGCATCAGACACTGGATGGGCTTCTGATTTTGAATGGCTCTGCGCTGGCTTGGGTAGGAATTGTTTATCCTAGCGTTCAAGAACAAAGTACAGCCTGTTAGGATTCAGCTTACCACCTGCCTGATGAGCTGCTCCACTCTGGTTGAAAAATAACCCCTAAGCTACTGCAAGTCAAGAGCCCTTGTTTTTAATAAGTAACTTTTAACTTCTACACATGAGGCAGAAGGGCAGGGAAGGGCTGCAGTGGTTTTGTGCTGAGACTGGGGGAGGGTAACTATAAACTAGACTGTGTTCCAGGTGGTGTATGCTGCCACATCCTCGCTCTGCAGCCTGAAAACTGTTCTGGATGAGTCCTGCGGTAAGAGCTGCAAGGGCAGCATGCAGGGGAAGAGGGCCTAGAGAAATTATTTATACTGACATTACTCATTTTCCACCTGTCCTGCCTGGAACTAAAGGGGCATTCAGCCTGATTAATCTTTGTCATTACCTTTTCTAGTTAAAAAAATAAGTACAGCCTGTTTTGTCACAGTGAGATGCCCTCTAGTTATCAAAGTGCCTTGTTTATCTCCGAAAAGCTGTGGATTAGGAGTTTATTTCCACCAAGGAGTTTATTTCCAAGGAGTATATTGTGTAAAACCTGCTTAAAAAAACTGAGCATGCTACACAAACAGCCACAGGCCATTTAAAACCTTTCTAACCTTTATTTTAACAACTGCTTTGTTTTATTTAAGTTGTGGGGGAAATCTGTATTTATATACCTCAGTAGGATACCCTCATAACCCTGTGAACTCATCTTGAGTTCAAAAACTTCAAGTGTTCCTTCCAAAAGAATAATTAATTAGACATGTTTTAACAGTTGCTCTTATTTTTCCTAATACCCTTGAAAATCCTAGCATTGCTTTTAGTAAATGCAAAAACCTTGTTACTTGTTTGTCACATCGCAGACTTGAACCACCTCACAATAGACCCAATTCTTGTGCCTGCCACAATTTGGGTACATGGTGCCCGTGCTCAGGACCTTTCTGGTTGGGTGCTCTTCATCCTGTAGGATGGCAGTCTGGAATTCAGATTTTGCCTCATAGCCTAAACACTAAACACAGAAGTTTGTTGCAGAGCTGTGGGGAAGGGAGAACCTGCTGCTGGGTCCATGCTGGAAACATGCATTGATAGAAAAAGGGTTTAATCCTGTACTTTGCCCCTTTGCAACTGATTTATCTCAATCTGAGATTTATTGGACCCTAGTTATGTGGATAGACCAGATGCGTATAGATCCAGAGGTGGCTGGAATCATCATTCACGTGCTTTGAATTTCTCAATAAATAAATCTGAATTTCTAAGCCAAAGACTGCATGCATTTGCAGCTGCTGATCCCTCCAGAAGGATAATTCATTTGACCTCCCTCAAGTCATTGGACCTTCGTTCCTGTACGGCGAATCACCCTCTGGATAGAGCCATTTGGTCTTGTGGGCTATTAAATAAATTCTGCATGAGTAGTGCAAATTTGAGCTATTGATGATTTCATTTAGGGATGACACAGGTTATGTCAAGTGACCCATTCAATGTGGATTAGTTCATTTGGGCCTGGATGAATCTTGTACACGGCATCCTGCATTGAGGCTTGGAAACTGAAACTCAATCAGAAGTCAGTATTTTAAGAAGCAATTTGTATCTTTATGTCTGGAAGTGTTCACCAAACCAATTTGGTGAGCCTTGCACCAATATCTCCTAACATTACTTTTTCTCACTGTCCTCCAGTTTGCACCTGGAGCAGAATAAGTCACCTGCCAAATCCAAGATCCTTGAAGCAGAAACATGCTGGTCCTTCAGAGCTCCAGAACCAGGTGGTTTTGCAATGGCACTTAGAGAAGGTGCCAACCAAATCCCGGAGGAGCATCAGTAAGTGGCTATGCTGACCCACAGCAAGGCCATCAGAGCCTGGAAAATAGAAGAGCAAACCTGCTGGAGGTCATGGTGTTCTCCCTGCATGGTGACACTGCTTGACGAGTTAACAGGGACCTGCAAGGTGCTGGCATTGTTTGGAGCTTGGTAAGTGGCTTTAATGTTTCTATTTGTCATTCTGAAGCAATTGATGGAAACAGAAAACAGAAGATTTTTCGCTTTGTGCTTGGGGAAGCAATGGCTGCTTGGTATTTACAAGACATGCAAAATTATGCTTCTATATATATAAAAATATGCATGATTACTTAAAAAAAAAAAAAGGAATTTGCACTGAGGGCTTTAAAACTGCTTAAGCAAAGTACTTGTAAGTCGGCCTGTGGTGAGAATTATTCTCGTGTACTCAGTTATACAGTGAAATTATGGGTATGAGACAGTCACAAGCCCTCTAGTCACTGCGGCTTTGTGAATGACCGACCTCCCTTTACACTCTCTTTGTTTGTGTAAGGAAGTAAGTTCTGTTTCACTGGCTAGGAATGTCCTAAGTACCTTAATGACAATCAATAACTTGGTAAGCTGAGCTTTCGGGTCTGTCAGTGCTCCTGTACTGAGAGTGGCTTCCAACTCTCAGCTGGAAGTAGGATGGCCCCTGAAATGGCTGTGAAGGTGTGAAGGTGCTGGTGCTGTTGCACAAGGCTGTTATCTGTCCTGTCACTTTTATAATTGCAGTGTCATATGCAGCCTCTGTACTTTACCAAAAATACTAAACTTAGCTGGGCTGTTGTTCCGACCTCTGCTAGGACAGCTGGGAGGAGGGAACGTGTTAATGTGCAAAGCTGAGTATTTCCCAAAAAGCCCTAAGTACTTCCTTGGCAGAAAATTAGCACCCTGTTCCTTTGAAGGGCGACAGGAAAGTTTAGTCTGTTTTCATGCAGTTGTGACCAGGAGAGCCCCCAGTCAGAGGGATGAGTCCTTTGTAATTACAATTACAAAGCTGAATTAGGCTGGTTGATAGGATTTGTTGTATTCTTATTTTTCAGCTTGTGTTGAGGTGAGTCAAAGAGATGTGGGGAGAGTGAAAGGGCACGGTTTTCTGCTCACTTAGCAAACCCAGGCAGTCCTTCCAGTGGGAAGGAAACTTCCACTGACTGTCTATGCACCTGAATTTTAACATTTTGTCACGAATTGCACAGTTTGCATTAGGACTGGATTTAATCCCTGGTTAACTTTTTCCTGCTTTTTTATGCTCTAAGTCAAGCATCACAGAGAGCAACAAGTGGGTGGGAAAAGTGGCCCCAGTTCATAGATTCCACAAGGGAATTGCTTTCTTCTCTCTGGAGTTGAGATGGGTTGCAAGGTGAGGCAGGTTTCCCAACATTTCCCTGCCATCTGGTGGAAAGAATCCAAGGGCTGTCCTACAGCCCTTGGGAGGCAGCAACAAATATTTGAACTTCAGGGAATTGCTCAGTTCACCAGCTTTTCATGCAGTGAGAGGGATGTAGTTTGGATATTACAAAAACTCAAAAGACACCTTAATGCTAGAATAGATAGTTATGAGAGGAGAGGAGTTTCCAGGCAAGTATTATACACAGATATGCTGCTTTTGGGGTGGAAGATGGACTAGAGCAGATCTGCAGGCATGATCCAACCAGCAGGGAGTTCTAGTGCCATCCAGGAGAGCACGGATTGATTCTCACCTCTACCAGCCTAAGATCTGGGGGAGAACTCTCAACCTGTTTTCCTGCTTTAGGTGGTCACATCAACACCATATGCAGTGTCCAGTACCCTGGGACAGCTGGAACATCAGGCAGTTCGTTGTCTAAAATTTAGACAACAGGAGATGGACCATGAAACATCATAAACCCTCCCTATGTTCCAACATCCCTGGTCCTGTACACCAACAAAGTGAGGGAAACAAGGGGAGTTAGTGAAAACTTCAAGCTGCATGCCTTGTCTTTAGTTGTAAACACCAACACAAAGTCTGAACTTGTGGAAAATAAGGAGGCAAGGCAGGTAAGCTCAGGCAGCTCTGCCTGTTTGTAATAAACCAAAAATAAATGGGCAATTGCAGCGCATTGTCTGCATCTCTCTCCTTTCAGCTAAGTCAAGGCCTCAGTTTACACATTTGCAGCTCGTTAGAAGACAAACTTTACCTGACTTGGAGCCTTGGGCGTGACCAGTGGTTTCAAAATACAGGGTGCCAGAAACCAGGCGGTCAGGCCTGTCCACTCTTGCATTTACAAGAGTAAATGGCTCGCAAACACTGCTGCTGCTGATTCAGAGCTCACAAAAGAGGTTCTCTGCTTTCACGAGCCGTTGAAGAGCTCGAGGAGACCTGGCTGTCTTTACAGTCCTGGCAACAAGGGTACATTCTAGTGTTTCCTAGTGCTTTATATTCCTTTGGGAGCCCCATGACTGACAGGTGGCTGGCACCAGAAGCAGAGGCACGGGAAATGACCCTCCTGGATTTTGGAAGCGATTCTAGGAGCTGTCTGGGTTGTTGGAGGCTGCCCTTATGCCCATGTCATCCCTGGGATGGAGCAGAGCACTGGACTCCTTAGTTCTGGCAAGCTTTCACGATCTCAGGAGGGCAAAGCTACTTCTGATCTCTGCCAAAATCATGTTTTGGCAGCAGAGCTCTTATTCCCGAGCTCGTGAGAGAAGCATTTGAGATCAAAGGGGAAGTTCCCATCCAAATGACACAATAATCCTTGAACAGCTTTGGGAAGGGGAGTGCCACCTCCCTGTTCTGCCCCAAAGCAGCATGTGGCCAATTGAGGGCAACTCACTACACTTTTCCAGCTCCTATTCTCCACAGTCAGTAATTATTCCCTTGCATTGCAGATGGAGAGGCTGGATCAGCCCAGGGTGACTGTGCCCATCCCCAGCTGTACCCAGCCTTTGCTTTGGGGGCTGCCTGTTCAGCTGGAAAGCACGGCGCTGCTGGATGACGTTTTCCTCTCCTCCCACTGAATCAGCCTTTTATTTACTCTTTGGAATGCAAAGTAACAGGACACCCTGTGAGTTTTATCTCTCTCCCAGTCTTTTGTAATGCTTTGAAAGTTGCCGGACCGGATTGAGCTTTGAGATGGGGTGGTTTCGGGGTTGCCTGGCAGGAATCTGGGTGGGAGGGCATTGTCGCTGAAATCTGAATTCCGGAGTCGAGCTAAGAGCACAATCCTTGGGCCATACTACGGGAAGGAAAAGCCTTTGTCCCTGATTGAATCCGGCCCGTCGCTGGTGTGGATGGATGGTGCTCCTTTGCTAGAATTCCTAGCAACTGCCTTCACCAGAAGACTCTTCCCCCGCAGGCAGCCGGCCTTCATTCCTTATGTAAGCAGCTCTTGCCTTCTTTCACGTGCATGGCACTCCTAGGGCTGGGAGCTGGTACAGAAGGATCCTGCCTGCCCCGACAGTGTTTGCTGTCCTGCAGCTGATCCTTGTCTGGGGTTCGAGCTCAGGGCGATGTAGCTCTTGCAACTCGCACGGATTCTGACCAAGCCGGACTTGGTTCTCAGATTTCAGGGCTCGCCTTCCTCCCAAACCTCGGCTCTGCTCTCAAGATGCTGTTGTGGCTACACTGAGACAACGCGAGGAGGAGGTGGTGACAGCTTTTATTGGATAAACTGGTTCCAGCGGGAGCAAGCAGAGGCTTTGCGGCTGACTGCTGCCATTGCGTGCGGGTGAGTGCCTTGAACTTCATGCTTTATTGCGTTTTCACCGTGCCGCGGCTGGGCTCAGTATCTTTCAGTCAGACGGGGAAGTCTCTCACCAAAAAAAGCACGTGGCTGACAGGTTGGGAATTGTTGTTGTATGTTTTGGGGCTGTACACTGCCCAGGAGGGGACCTGCTCCCACCACGGTGACTCGGTAATGGCTGCAGCACTGCCATGAAGGAAATCCCTGTGCTCCAGCAACAGAGAAACTGGAATCCTGGTATTGAGGCCTCGAACCAGCCATCTCCCAGCTATATAATACTTGTATTGCTTGCTGGTTTTCCCCACGGTGATTGTGTCCCCTTGTTCAAAGAGGGCTCATGAATTAGTTCGTAAAATGTCAGTGGCTTGAATGGCTGGAAACAGTGAGCATTCACAGCTTCGTGTCGAACCAGGGATTGTGCATCTTCACATTTTGCCCACATCATCCACATCCCTGAGCACGGGTGTTTGCCTGGTATCAGCCTGGAGGAGATCAGTGGATGCGCCAAACAGGAAGAATGTGTAGAATACAGGAGCAGTGGTTCAGCTGGGAACAGCTGGTTTGTACCCAAAATATGCTGTTTCATGGGGGTGTTAAGACAGGCTGCAGCCAGGCAGGTAAGGGAGTGGCTGTAAAAACAGCGCTGGGCAGGGCTGGGCATCAGCGGGAGCGCTGAGAGCTCCTGACATCAGCAGCCTGACTAACACGGCACCTTTTCAAGAGGAATACCTTAAATTCGGGGATGCTGCCTCCTGTGCCGTGTTCCGCGGTGGGTGGAATTCTGGCAGCTGCTGAGACTACAGAGGAGGCGGTGGTTTATATGTTTCTACACCACAGCAGGCTCAGAGACCTCACTCCATCTCTATTTTTCCCCCCCTAAAAATACCTGCAAAAAACCTGCAAAACTTCTGCTCCCCAGGAGACAATGTAGAGCAAGGGGAAACAAAGGAGACTCAGCAAGGGAGTTTCTGTGTGTGATCAGCAACTGTTATTGTACCAGAACAAGAGTTCTGGGCGATTTAAGTGTTCCAAGTATTAAAAAAAATCAGTTTCAGGGCTGGATGCAATTGGTGTAAAAAGGTTTGTCTCAGCACAGGGGTGGCCAGTTCAAGTTTTGATGGGCACATCGCGTATTCATATGGACTATGACATGTAAGATGGAGAAAGGAAGAACTTTTACATGAAAAAGTGAGTTTGATCCAGCTGTTTTAATCCTGACTTGCTCTTGAATGTGAGAAACGTAAATATTAGAGTGTGTGTATGAATCATCTTTTCAAGAGGGGGTAAATGGTGAAGTAAGACTGAATGCAGCTTTCAGTGTTACAAATTCCTATAAACCTGCATTAGAATGTTCTCAGAACCTCAGTTCCTCCTTTCCCTCTCTGTTTAATATTAAACCACACAGGCCCCAGGGTCTGTTGCTGTGTGAGCATTCCCTGAGTGCCACATTTGGGTGCACATGCAGTTTCTGCAGCATTGCTGTGTTGTTCACTTTGTATCCGGTCTCTGTTAGCCAAGAGAAAGCTCATTCCTGCAGTGATGTAGCCTTGCTGAGGGCAGATTTCAGGCTGAGGAAAGGGAATATTTTGCTTCTGAGTGTACCAAATTTTTTTTGGGAGCATGAGGCTTGTCCCTGGGGTAAACTATCTGTTCGTGCTGAGAGTGCCCTCTTTGCAGTGGGGTTTCATAGCACGATATTGTTGTCACCTGAGGAGGGATGGGACCCTGGATACACAAAGCCTTTTTTTAGGAACTGTGCATCTCTGCATACCAGCCAGCCCTCCTACCGATTACAGGGCAGCTTCTCTTGGTAGAAGACAAGATTTTTCTGGTTTCGTTTGCTAAAGCAAAGCTTGTGGTCGAAGGATCTCTTGGATGATGCAGAGCTGATGCGGGGCTTTTGGGCACAGCTTTTTGGGCACGATGTTTTCCCTTATTTCTGTAGAGAGGAGAGGCAGGAGTGGCACAGCACCTGCGGGGTGTTTCCGGCTGCTCACACCTGCCAGGAGCACAGGGAGGAGGAGCTGGGCACCGTGCCGAAGCCGGAGCCACCGCGCCATGGCGGCCTGAGCCGCGCGGCACTGCCCTTGCCATGGAGCGAGGCCCCCCGGCCAACGGTGCTGGCGTGCGGTACAGCACCCAGCTGCAGGTGAGAGCACACCTGGGCGCCAGGAGCTCCCAGAACCACTGCCAGCCTTTGGCTGAGCTGCGCCGTCCTCTGCTCGCTCTGGTTCCTTCGAGCCTGGTGGGTTCAGGACTGCTCTGGATCCCTCAGGAAGGGGGGATTCCAGCTCACCCTTGGGTGAGGTCAGGAGAACCTGTTTGGGGGTCGTTGCTGAGCTCAGCAGAGCAGAAAAAAAAAACAGCTTTAGGGAAGTGGAGATCACCTGTCTGTGCTGGCTTTGGATCTCGTCAGTGTTGGTGCTGCCGTTGCTTCAGGGGTTTTGGTTTCAGCTTAAGCTGAGGGCAGTGGGGTTGTGAGTAAAGGTAAACTCCATGCTAGTGAGCTATGTGCAGAGCCTAGCTCTGGGTTGTTTAGCAACAGAGCCAACTAAACCTGTTCAAGCATTGTAAAGGCCAGTTTTAACCAAGGGCTGTGGGGCTTCACTAATTAACCGCTGTGTTATCATTGCATTCTGAGACCTGAGTCTGAGTGAGCTTCTTGTGTAGATCGTCCTGGCTGAGGGTCGGGCACGGATGGCTGAGTTTGGGTTGTACCTCCAGAGCCTGTTTTGTGCCACAGAGCTGTTCCAAACAGGGTTTTGGGTTAAAGCAGGACAGCAGCATTTCCCACCCTACCTGCTGGCTGTGTGGTGTCTGTCTCCAAGGCCTGGCTTTAGTAGTTATTATCTCACAGCAGCATAGGAGCTGCTGGTTGTGGCACTGATCAAAAAGCTGGCCTGCAGCAAGAAATTTTCCCTTGCCTCCAGTCCCACTGTCCGGTGTGTGCCATGACTGGGAGTGGGAAGGAGGTGCTTTCTCTGAAGCAGTTCAGCTCAAGCTCCTTGTCCCTGGCCAGGCTGGGGTGACACCTGTGGGACACAATCTTCCCTGCCTGGAAGAAGGTAGCTTTGTGCTCTGATTTGTCTTTATGCCAGACCGAGGGCTCTAGCATCCCTTCCCTGGTTCTGGATCAATTTTCCCCCTGTGTCAGTTCAAGAGAGACTGATCTGATCCAGAGCAGCTTCCTTGAAGACAGTACCTACTCTCCTGACAGGAAACAACCCAAGGATTTTGTCACCCATGGAGTGTTGTTAGACTTGGCCCCTTATAAACACGAGTGGAGGAAATTAGTGGTTTTGCAACATCTTGTGTCTCCTCCTGTGCTGGTAAAGGAGCTGCAGTAGTTCTTGGGCTGAGGAGAAGCTGCTGCTCTTCCTTGGAAAGGTGCAGAGTGTTTCCTTGGGGTAGTGGCTGGCAGGTGAGCTGCTGCTTGGGCCAGTTTGACTGCTGTTGGTGCTAAAAGCAAACAGGGATAAGGAAGACACAATGAGAAAAGGGCTGAGGCCAGACCTTTAGTCAGCAAACGAAAGATCGCTCTGTAAAACCCTTGAGGGAGCAGCGAGAGTGTTTTGAGGGCCTGGCTGTGAGGAAGGTATCAGGGCAAAGGTTCTCCCCTTGCCCGGGGTAGAATGTATAATTTCCATCCAAAGGCCACTGGCGACAGACCGGGAAGTAGTATGCCCTGCAATATCCGGGCCATGGGCTGGGATGGGGAGGGAGTAGCCAGCAGGGATGGGTTTGGCAGACAGAGACTTTCCTGGTAAAAGGTGCTCGTGTTTTCCTTGCTGTTGGCCTCAAACATTGGAGACTTGTGATCCTGATCCACCTTAGAACTGCAGGAATGAGTTGAGTGTCACAAGGATTGTGAAGGTTGAGGTCTGGGGCTCAGCTGTTTTGGTTAAGCTGCTGGAGGCAATTCTGTTTTTCAGACAGTTTTGTCTGTACTAGGAAAGACATACAAGTGATTTAAATGAGCTGTTTGCATCTGTGGCATGTTTCTCTGCTGCTCTTGGGACATCAGTGTGTTGTAAGGAGGAATTTCATGGCCCATAGGTACACAGATCAGGGCTGTAGAGTACCTTTATTCCCAGCTTCTCCGCAAGAGTTGTTAAGATTTAAGTGTAAAATTCTCTACTACCACAGACACACAGAAGTGTGGTAGCTTTTTCTGAGCTGCTATGATGCAGGACAGATCAGCCTGGATGGGACAGCAAGCCAAGCCTGTGCTGTCTCTGCAAACATTAACATTCGTTTCTTCTAAAATAAACCTAAAGGAATTTGTTTTCTACTATGACTCAGGGTGGTCACAAGACAATCTGCTGTAGAGGGTTAAGCTCAAACTTGATATGTGAAATAGGTGTGTGTGACCTGTATCTTTTACTATTGCACCTGCCCTTTGCACCTGGAAGATGCACAGTCTGGAGGACTCTGTCCTTGAGCTCTTGCCCCATATTCCCTTTTTAGTTTTGATGTCATAATTTTATAGCTTCATTGCCCTTAACACAGAACTGAAGACGAAAAATAATGCACTGGCAAAGTTTCTTCAGTGCTTTGCTGCCTGTGGTGGGGCAGCAGAGCACAAATACGCCTTACATAAACTTTGCTTCCCGTGTGTGCTGTTTTCATATATTTCTTATCAAGAGTAAGAAGAGAAGTGAGAAGATGATTCTTATCAGATCTTTTTCCAGAGGAGTTGTTTGGGTTTGCAGCAAGAGTTAGTGCAGGAGTTGATTTAAGGATGGTGTAGCTGTACTTGAGCTATTTGGGTGAAGTGAGTTGCACATGCTGTTCACATTTGTTTTACTTCTTCTGATGGGTAACAGGCTGTTTTCCCTCCTACCAGCACCCAAAGCTGGTGTGAGCTTTCATCGTGATCCAAGAATTCTCAGCTTTTGAAAATACAATTTTTCTGGCTCTTTTTGCCACACAGGCTCACCCTGTTGGTTTCCTGAGCTCTGAACTGGCTTGCTGGCTATGTTCTG